CTTCGGACTCTGCGATTCAGACTGGTCACTTCACTTTTCACCAAAACCAACACATTTTAGACAACTGATTTTTTGATTGATCCTTAACTGTACCTTCCCCTAAGTTTTCAAAACTGTTTATTATGATACGTTTTTCAATAAAATCTTTATGTTCAATGCATCGTCCAATTTTTAAACACAATTTCAATTAAATGTGATAATCATTGAATAAAGGTCAAAATATACTTTTAAATTTTAATCCCTCATTTTAATTTTTAATTTTACTTTAATTTTTTAACCTTCAAAAGTTTTACTTAAATATTTAAGAGTGTCTTTGTTGAATTAAAATATTAAATTCTTAGTTTTTAAACAATATTAATTTTAACTGACATGATATATTACATAATTTGTAATCTGTCACTTGGTTGATAAAATTAATATGAAAACCTAACAAAATGATGAACTTAACAAAGACAATTTAAATGAAAAATTTTAAATTAGAGGAATAAACTAAAATAAAAAATTTATATGAGAAACGAAAATTATGTTTTGATCTAAAATTAATAAAGAAAAAAAATTCAAATCATAATCATGTTGATTATATTGAATATTCAAGTAAATGAATGAATTTTTAAATTTTTAACATGATGAATAATGTTATATTAAAAAAGAGGTTAAATTATATATATTTTTCTTTATCTTATTTTAGTTTTATTTTTTTAAATGTTATTTAGATTTATTTTATCATTTTTGAAATAGTAATTATTTTAAATTTTGAGAAATGATTTTGAATATTTTATCGACTCATTTAAGACTTAAACTTTGTCTCGTTAAATTTAACTATATGAAAATTATAAAATTCAATTAGTGTTTAAATTAAAAAAAAAATTTAAAAAAATTATGAGAAGAATATATCCTACAAGCAATTAAAAAATAATATAAAATTAATTTTTTAGAATCATTTTTGTTATTTTTTGAACTTATTTATGTGCAATTTTTATCATAATTATAACACTTTTAACTTAAAATTTTTGTATTTAATAATTTTTATAAAGATAAATTTAATGAGATAAAATTAAAATTTTGAATCGATTAACAAAAGATTTGAAAACGCCTCTCAAAATAAAAATAAAAAATCTTTATTTCAAAAGATCAAATAGATTTAAGTTTAGGAGATAAAAAGACTAAAATAAACATTTTTAAAAATAAAAAATTAAAATAAATTTTAAAAAATAAAATAAAGAAATAAGAGTATAATTTAACCTAAAAAAATAACACCATGTTACAAACATAAATAAATCATTTGAAACAAAAATCAAACATCACATGAAATTGAATTACTTTTTTTTAGGAAAAAGAGTAGAAGATAGAATAAGTTTTTTTTCTTTCTCATATACTTATTTTCAGAGATAAGTTATCAAAAACTAGCTCAAAAACTATAATAAAAACTAAAATAAGCAACTTCAATGCTTTTGACGACAATTAGATCTTTTCTACTTCATCTTCCATACCAAAAATAAGTATCAATCAAAATACTTTTATAACTTAAAGGGATACATCATTCAACAAGCTAAAATAAATACAATTATTTATATAAATATAAAGTAATTTTTAAAATATTATTATAAATAATAGCATATAATGAAGTCACATGTTAAAAAAATTACCGAGTCTTTCTGTTATGCGTTATAACATTATAAAATGTATATATTAATTTTTTTATACTATATATGTAATTAAATTTGTATATTGTTTTAATTATAGTTTATTTTAATATTATTAATTCAAATATAAACTACAAATTTATTTATTTTCTTTAAAATATAATGCAAAAACGAGTTAACTATCGATGTCGCCAATCTTATATGCTAAAATATAATTTTTTATTCTTGAAAAATCATCTTTTTATATTATACATGTTTTAAATTACATAATTTTATCATTATTTTAAATAATTTTATTAAATTTTCAAAATAATTATGCATAACTTTTACATGAAAAATATTTTCCCTAAACTTAAGTTGTTTAGACTCTATCAACAAGGTCTAACACATAATTAGTAGGTAAGAGTATCTGATTTCTTTAAACTGGATTCGATTATTGTCAATACTTATGAAGAATATTTTGTTGGAAGAGACAAAATCTACTTTGATAATTTGTGACACAAAAGAATTATTTTATGACTATCAATCCAAAATCTCTTTTTATGTGAATTTTTTTTTTGTTTAGACTCTCAAATGTCAATGTATATCCCTTTTTTATTAAATTGAAATCTGATATTTTTCTTTCGATTCTCAAATGTGTTTAACTTTTATACATTGAATTAAAATATATTAACTCATATTCTAATGAATTTATAATACATTTTTTTTTTGTAATTTCTATTTTGTCTCTTCAAAACACACAAACACAAAACATTAGAAAGCATGTCTTGTTTTCATACTTTAGAAAAAGCATTTATTGTTTTAATAATTTGGAAATAACTTTTTGTTTTCATTTTGATATTAATTTTTTTTTTATCTCAATAGTATTTTTAATCGCAACAACCATTGTAGCCAGTGAGCCATTGTTCTCCTCGTCGATCCCTAGCCCCACAGCTAGTTAACTAGATTTTAATGTATTAAGTATAATTTATTTTTATTGAATAAAACTAATCCACAATGTAATTAAAAATTAACAATCTCTCGCTTATTAGTTTAATTATTAAAAACAAGATTATTATAACCCAATATTAAGCACGATCAAAGTTCAAAAATTGTTTAAAGAAATAGAGCTTGTTACGATGTAAAAAAAATTATAATACGAATAAATATTATATATGTGAATAAATTCATGGATATAATGAAAAACACAATTAAACATCTTAATAATGTTACAAATAAAAAAAACACTTGTAAACATATATCAATAAATAATCCATTTTTTTTTCGTGACTAAAAAAAATATTTGGACTATTTATTATATATGTTTAATAATGTTACAAGATATATGATAACAAAAATGAATTGATACATATATCATATAAAAAAATAGAGTATTCAGTTTCACCAACTCAATATTCAAAGACTTGACTAAACATATTGCAGTGAAAAAATGTAAATAAAAAATAAATAGTTAAAAGATAACATAACACATTCAATTTATAGAAATAATATTCTACTTAAAATTACCACATATTGAAAAACAGTATCACATGTTCAATTCAATTTATTGGAATAATATTTATTTAATACCACTAGTGGGTTAGCCACTTTTTACTTTATCTTTTCTCGTCTTTCCTCTCACATCACATCTATTGGAGAAGCTATTATATGATCTAGTAATCATGTAGAGTTTCAGCCAACAATTTGTACACAACAAAATATTAATATTTTATGCTAATTAAAAAATGATTATTTATCGTTTTAAGATTAGTAGAGACCCTATAAAATAGAAGATGGATAGAATAAATTTTGTACCTGTTGGCTGCTATGGCCAAAGTCAACAACCATGTAGCATGAGCCATTGTTTTCCCTCGTTGATCCCTATCCCCACAGTTATAGATAACTAGATTCCAATGTATTTGGTACTATAATTTACTACATCCTTTGAGTGGAATTATCTCTTTCATGAAGCGCATTCTGGATTTTTGCACGAGTTTGGATAAGCGTATAAAGTAAGAAAATAGAGTACCACAAAGACTAAGGACTGTGACGAGATTCAATAAGTATACTCGATTGTTCTCCCTACTCCATGAGCCAAAAAACAAAAGAATGGAATTGATCAAACGCACAAAGCCTCTATCTAGATTATCAATTCAAATCATGCCTTTTTCCCACGCTCCTGCCACACCTTTTCACTTCTTTATTTATCAGTACCCCTGCCTCTCAATTCAGGATTAATTTGATAAATATTGTTGGTTTAAAGTGCATTGTTTGAAACTTGTCATGGGTTCAAATCAGTGTAAAGTTGTTTTTTTATTGTTTTGTTTCAAGAGAATAGTTTTATGAATAAGGTTGGAAGTTTGGAGGCATTGTGAATCGGACACTTGTTCTAAGATGAGATTAAAATAAAGCCGAGTTTTATGCTCTGGAATCCAGGGTGATGTTTGATTGTAGAAGAGGTGGCCACCGAATCCCTCCATATCGATCCCCGCAATTAACTACTTCCTCAATCTTTTCTCAACTGACAAGCAACCCCATTCATTTGTACACTACTCACCAAAATCTCAAAGAAAGATCAACACAAATAAATGTTTCAGAAAAGAAGAAATAGAAAATTGTGTTTCCATGTGATCAAGTGGGGTGGGGCCAGATTACCTTCCAAATTCCAATCGATTCTTCGGCTAGCTAGGCCCCCTATGCGTCTCCCTTCTTCCTGCCTTAGCGTGACAATCATAACACTTCCCAATGACTAATTCTCACAGATAGTTAGATTAGATGAGATAAAATTCTACAATCCAGTGAGGGACAATAATTAGCCTCCGGGAATTGGCTAAAGGACGTGATTATATCCCAAATCCAACAGTAGATGATTTTCTCGGTTTTACTACTAATTAATCCCTGCAAAACTCACATGCATACATGACATATCCCTATCAGCATCAGGTACGTAAGACTGTAAGAGTAAGTTTTGAAATAATAACAAGAATCCCCTCTTTTCTAGTTTCTGATTATGACAACCTTTTTGTAATTAATTATTATTTTGAAGCTATACCTATACTTGTAATAGACGGTGTTTATCTACTCCAGAAGGCGGCAACCAGCTGTAAACCCTTGCTCCCTTTTCCAACTGAAGGCATTTCAGAATGACCGTCATGAAATTTATTTCCACAATAGTGTAAAGGAAAAAAGAATCCTTTGAAAAGGTGTGCAGCGTAAACGTAAACACAAGTCCAGCTCCGAATCCAGTGGATCAGGCCCCATCTCTGATTTCTTCCCAACCCAAAATTCCAAAACCCTTTTTGTTTGTTTCTTCCTCCCTCTGCTGTACTTTATATTGGCCCACCCACTCTCTTCACATTTCAAACCACCCTTTATTCCTCTCACTCTCTATAAATACAACACTCCCCACACTCCTCTCTCCCAAACCCAAGAAACAGAGAGAGAGAGAGAGGAAAGAAGAAAGAGAAAAGGAAAAAAATGAGAGAATATTGGACCTCGTTGGCGTCGCTTCTGGGAGTGTTGGCGTTCTGCCAAACCATCCTCCAAGCAGTGTTCCCTCCGGAACTCCGTTTCGCCTCCGTGAAGCTGTTGAACAAAGTCTTGCAGTGCTTCTCGGCGTACTGCTACTTCGACGTAACGGAGATCGACGGGGTGAACACGAACGAGCTGTACAACGCGGTGCAGCTGTACCTGAGCTCGTCGGTGTCCATAAGCGGGAACCGGCTGAGCCTGACACGCGCGGTGAACTCGAGCGGGTTCACGTTCGGGCTGGCGAACAATGACAGCATCGTGGACAAGTTTAACGGCGTGAGCGTGGTGTGGGAGCACGTGGTGACGCAGAGGCAGGCCCAGACCTTCTCCTGGCGGCCACTCCCCGACGAGAAGCGTGGCTTCACTCTCCGCATCAACAAAAAGGACAAGGCTTTGATCCTAAGCTCCTACCTTGATTACATTATGGACAAAGCCAGTGACATTCGGAGGAAGAATCAGGATCGCTTACTCTACACCAATTCCAGAGGTGGCTCCCTCGACTCCCGGGGCCATCCTTGGGAATCCGTCCCTTTCAAACACCCTAGCACGTTTCACACGTTGGCCATGGACCCCAAGAAGAAGAACCAGATCATGGACGATCTCCAGGACTTCGCTAATGGACAATCTTTTTACCATAAAACTGGAAGGGCTTGGAAGAGGGGTTACCTTCTCTATGGCCCTCCTGGTACCGGTAAATCTAGCATGATTGCTGCTATGGCCAACTTCCTCGGTTATGATATTTACGATTTGGAGTTAACCGAGGTGCATAACAACTCTGAGCTCAGAAAGCTCTTAATGAAAACCAGTTCTAAATCCATTATTGTTATCGAGGATATCGATTGCTCTATCAACCTCACCAACCGAAACAACAATAACAACACCGCCGCCGCCACCACCACCAGTTCTGTTTCCAGGAGTTACTATGATTCGGAGATACGAGGTTGTGGTGGTGGTGGCGGCGGCGGCGCTGAGGAGGGTGGGAACACGATTACTCTCTCTGGCTTGTTGAATTTCACGGACGGGTTGTGGTCTTGCTGTGGGAGTGAGAGGATATTCGTGTTTACCACCAACCACATTGAGAAGCTTGACCCTGCTTTGTTACGAAGTGGGAGAATGGATATGCACATTTTCATGAGTTATTGTTCCTTCCCTGCTTTGAAGATTCTGCTGAAAAACTACCTTGGGTGTGACGAGGGGGATTTGGAAGACTCGATTTTGAAACAGTTGGAGGAGGTTGTGGACGTGGCGCGCATGACTCCGGCGGATATAAGCGAGGTTTTGATCAAGAATAGGAGGAAGAAGGAGAAGGCGGTGGAGGAGTTGTTGGAGACGTTGAAGCTGAGAGCGGAGATGAATGCAAAAAATGGGGTTTTGAGGGGGAAAATTGAAGAGGGAGAGGAAGAGGAAGAGGAGCAAGAGAAGAGAGCCTTGGACAGTGAGAGTCCTAAAGAGGAGTCTGAGATTGAGGATGAGGAGAATTGTTGCAAGGAAGAAGAGAAGATCAAGTGATGATATATAGTGATGATAATAATGTTGTTCAAGACTCGTTCCCGTGCAGTGAAGAACAAGGAGGAGAATACAAATACAAATACACTGTAATGTAATATCTAAGTGTACTCGATCATGAACAAATTTTTTTTACGGGGGAGTTTGATCTGACTTGCGAGATGCAAGGGGGGAAACAGGGGAAGGAGTTAGGGCCTCTGATTTTGAACATGTCACACACTTGTGTCTCTTTAGATTTGATAGGGAAAGTTTATTTGCATCGTGATATAGTTCAAGATTTGTTCCCTTTTGGCTATGGTTATGACTTTACACCCTAACATACTTGGGGAGCCAGCTGGGATGTTGGTGAACACCTGGGTGCACATGGCATGGGAAAGGTTGGTAACTTGATGGGA